AATTGTAGCGGTACTGATATTTTATCTATCATTTGATAATATAAAGAAAGATAATATGTTTCCATTCCTCTTTATTATTGTTTTCCTATCTTTGTAATTTGTTCTCTCAATATATGATAAATATATTTTATTTGGTCGAACATCGACTAGTTTTTTATTGAAAATTTTCAGTTCATAAAAAACATGTTTAACAGCACTCAAAGAAATGTACATCCTTTGTTTATGAATGTGATCATATTGAAAAATTAAATTTCAAAAGCCACTTATTTCTTTAATTGTTTTTTCTGCTAGAATATTTCGAATGAATTTTGCATATTTGTTACTAGTAAAATATATTTTCTAACGATGATCATAATCTTGTGATGTTAGGAACTCAAATTATTGATCGATAAAAATTAGCGATTGTTTAAGAATTTTATCAACTCAAGTTATTAGATAATTGATAAAATAGTACATGATAGTGTTGTTACAATTTCTCATCCATAGTGAGTGCTATAGAACGAAAGCTTTATTTGAATCACAGTAATTTCTTTTTTAGTGCTTCCGGTGATAGTTCTGCTAAATTTGATCGAGTTCAAGGCTGCTTTAGAGAAAACTATATCAAAATCTATTCGTATTAAATCTAAACAGTCTGAAATATTCGTTTTTTGATTAATTCCGTCAACGAATATCACTCTTTTTGTCATCTCTCCTGGATTTGACCGTCACAGCTGAGTGGCTACGTTGTTCGACAGATATTCACTAGGAACTATGTTCAAATCTCTGTATCACAATTTTATCTCAGATCACCTGTCTGATAACATGCTGACTGCGTCGTGATATGCACTTTCTGTTATGGTTGGTTAGTTAGTGTGTATGGAGAACACAATAACTCGGCGTCAAGCTGGCCTTCTAGTCCGAGTTACAGCTAGTCATAGTTGTAGAGAAAATATCTGGCTATTGAATGTGTCAATAAGCAACATTTCATACCGAAAGCGGGGGAATTTTCTTTCTCATGAATTCTTCTTTGATTAATACGATTTAATTATTAGATAATTCACTAACAATCATAGAAAATTTAACTAGGATTTTTAGTTTCAATTCGAACAATCTTCTTTTTTCCTCGTAGTATTGAACCTAACAAGTAATTATTTGTTAGTCCCAGGCCCCACGTGTCTGTCTGATAAGCCTTTTAAAATGATACCTATCGGCAGAACAAGTATCGATTACGTATTATAATCTCCAATTATAATAAATACGATTCTGAAGGATTGTCTTAGAAAAACTTCTTAAATTCCGAATTTTTACACGCTATGGTTTAATTAACTATTCTTTTTTTTTTTTATTTAGGTGCAATTTTGCTGTTCGAAATTTAGCCGATAATATCCATACATACACTGTTCAATGTAGTTTACCAATAAATTTATTTAATGAAAAAATTTTTTTAATTATTTGGTTTTGGCTTTATTTTACAACATTATTTACATTATTCGGTTTTATTTATTGGATAATATCATTTTTTTATCCAAAATTTTATAAATCAAATCTTATACGTTATTTATCATCAATGAAACGTATAAATATTCATCATTTTCCAGAAGATCCATTTCAAGAACCACCAGTAGTACCTCATCGACATCATTCTCATTCTCATCGTCGTCGTCATCAATCATTTGTACATTCACATTATAGTTCAATGCATATTACTCGTCATCATCATAATCTTGTATCATCATATACTAATCGAACCTTAAAAACCAGTATTGATTCAAATCGTTTACCACGTATACGTGAACACTGTAGTATTCCCATTTCAGATGGTGCAGAAAATATTGAAAGTAGTGTAACACCAACATCAGATGAACAATCACGACCATCAACACCAGAGCAAAAACTACTTGAACAGTCTAATTCAATTTCAATATCACATGAACATAATCGAATAATTAAAAATTTTTTAACAGATTATCTTGGTCATGATGGAACACTTGTTTTATACTTACTTAAAATGAATACAAATGAAGTGATAACAGGTGAAATTGTTACAACTTTATTCGAGTTATTTAAAACAAATTATCAAATTAATGCAACAGATTGAAGAGAAAACGAAATAATTATTTTTATATTAGTTAATAAATCGATTAGAATTGAATAAAATGTGATAATAGATGTAGCGAAAAATACTGTAAAAAGAACAAGATATACATAAAAAATAAATAAAACTTTAGGCTTTTTTTGTTTGAGCAGCTTTATTATTACAGAATAATTGATATACTTATTATTCAATATTATACTATTAAGCAATTAACATGCTATGCAAAAGTTTTTGTAATAACTTCAAAATCTTATTGCTCATATCGCTAATTTGTGAATCAAGAATTTTTTTTTGTTAAGACAACGAATCTATGTGCGAAACATTTTGTACCATATCTGTCATTTCCAGAACGAGTCCAACAAGCATTAGATTGAAAAAACAAATACCTCTAAAAGTAGTTCTTGCAAGTTCATCGTTGAATAATGTCATTTTCTTGTTTTTCTAACATTATTTTACCGCAGAAGAGAATAGAAAAAAAACGTATTCATTGACGGAAGCTTGGACAATTGGTTGCATAATGTACTAATTTTAAAGTATCGTGAAGAAGCATCGAGAATGGATGAGTGAGGATATGGATTAGAGTGTACAAAAGACCTTCAAGCATTCTTAAGGCTAGACAAGTGAATTTTTTAGCATATGAATCAAACAATCGAGTTCAGACTGGTCTTGTTGACCTGCATGTCTAAGTTAGTCATTTTCTAAAAATTTTAGATGTATAGCCTTAAAGATAGATGAGATTACAGGCGAATACTTTCGGTCAGTAGTATATTTCTTTATTGAGGCTATTAGTGCTAGTTCTAAGCAATACTTATTCGATGGTTTCCTTATGAATGAAAACTTTAAAGAGATCTCTATCGTTGAGGAATAAATCAGTTCGATTAATTAAAGTAGACTGAAAGAATTCAGTACTTTTGCCGTCTAACTATTTATGTGTCACTCTGTACATAATGATTTTTATTATTCTCTTCTTCCTAAGCTATTATCGTTTATTCTCTTATACAAATTCTAAGATTTTTAACATTACTATAGAATTAGAATGAAAATAGACAATAAAATAATATTTATCCTTAGTCTGATCGACATATGGATACACCATAGGTTGAAATCAATGTAAAATATTTATGCAGTTAGTTCAAAGAACTAAAATTAGCATTAGATCAATATCATCTTTTCTTTATTTAGATGACTTTTCAATTAATTGAATTAGCTATTCTTACAGGAGAATGTTTTCAATTGATCAATCGTTTTCTCACCAAAAGCTATTTGGTTACGAATGATTGTTATGTTGATTTTGAGTTTGACCATAAAAACTGTGCCGAAGTCTTTATATACTAGTTTTCTATAAAACCAACATAGCTAATAACTTACGAACCACTAGTTTTCAGTGAGAAAGCAATCAATCATTTGTAAATATTACATTGCTAGTCAATTTTGCTCTTTTCAATTTTCAATCTTGAAATCAAAGTATAGATGGTGGAGACACAAGACCTGGACAGGTTCAAACGTAAATTAAATTGGACACGTAAAGGCTTAGATAGACTTTAATTATTGCTAGAAATTTTCTATTACTGTTTATTAACCTTCATTTTCTTCTGACAAATGACGCGTTGTTACAAGGTCAGTTCACATTTTATCTGCTACCAACTCGTGTTCAACACGTATAAGAGGTGGAGCAAAAATTATTAATGCTGATCGATAGTTACCTATAGAGAACTGCGAATGCACGTTTCTGTGGACTAGATCTGGGCCCGAGCAAAGTCAAATTGCTGGATCCCTACTCACAGCTCTCTAATTCCAAAACAGAAGCGTGGAGCAGTGTAGTCTACTTGATATTCTTTGAATTTGAAGCATTCAAGGCTTTCCACAATGAGTGGAGTTGAAACACTGTCGGACATAACTCAGTGACGAGGTTACAGGAACTAGTACATACAATCCCGATATGGGCGCTCTAAAACCTGAACTTCAATTGATTCCCTTTAATTTTCAATTTTTGGACAGTGAGTATATCTCGATGAACTTGTGTTCGGTATTTCTTTTTTGTGCTACCGACAGCACTTTTCTATACTCGAATATGTATAAACGGTTAAGCATCAGAGAAAATGAAATAAAGAAGAGAAGAAAAACAAAAAGGATACACATCGAAGGTAAAATGTGATCTAATAATATCATCACATATTATAACAAACAACTCTTATCGGAATTTTATTCTTATAATATTAGCTGAAACAAGATTAAATATTAGAGAAATGTTTCTACTATCAGATCTCATAGAGAATAAGTTTCATGAAGCCTTTTATAAAGACTTAAAATACATCTGCCACTATTTTTGCTATACTCTAAATAATTGATGAGCTAAAACAGAAAAAAATAGCTCTGATCTTACGTAGGATATCTTATCACCCGATTCGATTCTGAATGGATTCCAATCTCGTTCTCATGGTTTCCAAGTGTAACACAATGAGCTCTATCGATTCCATGGGTCTGTTCCCCCCCCCCCGCCCCACCCCCTCGTCACCACCCCCCACACAACA